GATATATTGCGTGTTTTTTTGCAGCACGTGGCAGGAGGTTATCGAACACTCAGAAAAATCGAGCTCTTTCCGAGTTCCAAGTAGGTGGAGCATAATCCACTACCTTAGAAAGCTCACACTGTAAGCAAATCACAACTCAATAATAATCCACTCAGTTATTTTTTTTGTCCATCTTACTTGCTGAATGTTTTGCTTTATAAAAAAAGGTTGAGATTTGGACATGGATTATCAGATAATCGTTCAGCCGGCGAAAATCATAGCTGCTGCAATCTAACAGGTGAACACCATTGGCTAATTTAATTTACATAAACACATATATATTTCTAAAATTATCTGTTATTTATTTATTTATCTTTCTTTCATTTGCTAGATTCACACGAGATCCAAACAAACAACAATGTACGACGTGTCCTAGCCGAACAGTCGAGTAGTAACCTTATTGCTTTGCCTCCCTCCGATGCGGGGGCCCCAGCCCCCTCTGAAAGTGAGGAATCTCTCCCGAGCAGAAGCAGCGGCTCGTTTCCAGCCGTCCCGAACGCGAAAAATTTATCTCCTTCCGCTGGTGTAGACAACAATACGCCTCCTGAGACGGCTAGCCCTCGCGCTACAAGCCAAACGAATGATGATAGCAAGGGATCGTCTGAAAAAACCGAGCACTCGACGAAGGTCATAATCGGAGTATCGTGTGCAGCCGTCTTACTTGTTCTCGTCTTAGGTTTATTTGTCGTCTTCAGAAGCAGAGCAGCTAGGACGATCGGACCTTGGAAGTCCGGATTGAGTGGGCAGTTGCAAAAGGCTTTTATTACGGGTATGAAATTTGTTCTTACACGAGATTAATGTTTGCTTTAGTGCAAAATTGCATTTTTATGCTGGTTTAACGGCATAACAATTTTAGTCCCAAGGTTATAACATTTTGTTTTTTGGTCATCTGATTTAATATTTTGCTGTAATTTCAGTCTGACTGAAAAATATTAAATTACAGGACCAAAAGGCAAAAAGCTGGAATCTTGGGACTAAAATTGATCTGACGTTAAACCACGTTAAACCAACAGGACTAAAAATACATTTTTGCTTTTACTTTAGTTAGCTTGATACAGCCGAATTAGTTATGGGGTTTTATGATTCGGGTTTTATGGTTTTTTCTTAGTATTTTTAATTCATTTTGATTTTTTTTTTCTTTTTCTTAACATGAATCTACCAATCTATTTAGAAAATGATGCATCTAACATATTAATTATCACTATATTGCCAAATATTCAAATGGACATGATTTATTTATAGGGGTTCCAAAGTTGAACAGAGCCGAGCTAGAAACCGCGTGTGAGGATTTCAGCAATATTATACGTGTCCATGAAGGTGTGGCCACTCTGTACAAGGGAACTCTATCAAGTGGAGTCGAGATTGCAGTTGTCTCGACTGCTGTGGGCTCCATTCATGAATGGTCTAAACGTGCAGAGTTAGCATTCAGGAAGAAGGTTAGATGATGATAATAATGAGTTTGATCTAGTAAATTTAAATCATTTTGCCTTTTTTTTTTAAAGTAATTTATTTATTTATTTATTTATTTTTATTTTTTGGTGCTATCACTACAGATTGATACCTTATCGCGTGTGAATCACAAGAACTTTGTAAACCTTATTGGGTATTGCGAGGAAAACGAGCCTTTCACTAGGATGATGGTTTTCGAGTACGCCCCAAACGGCACTCTCTTTGAGCACTTGCATGGTAACAAACTCTTAAGATAATTCATTAAAACTTTTTTTAAATTTCAATTATTGAATTTCTCTTAAGATCATCGAATATATATAAATATTATTTTGTTTTATTATTTTTAGTAAAAGATCTCGAGCATCTCGACTGGAATGCGAGGATGAGGATCGTGATGGGGGCCGCTTACTGCCTTCAGTACATGCACGAACTGAATCCACCGGTGGCCCACATTAACTTGACTTCCAAAGATATATTCTTGACTGACGATTATGCTGCTAAAGTAAGAATTCTTTACTAGCTCTCTGTCTAACTTTAAGGCAAGAAAAAATTTTGATTCATTTTTTTTTTAAAAAAATCGAGTAAAAAAAATTTCGGTTTGCAGATTGCAGATGTGGGTTTTTGGCTGGAACTCGTGGTGAAATCCAAGAATAAGGGAGAAAGCGATTCGGAACATTCCGAACTGCCGCCTCTTGCTGACGTGGAAACGAATGTTCACAGCTTCGGGGTGCTTTTGCTGGAAATAGTTTCCGGGATGCTCCCTCACTCGCCCGAGAAAGGGAATCTCACAAACTGGGTAAATATTTTATACGAATGATTGTTTATTTATTTACTCCCCTGTTCGTTTAACACCATAGCAATTTTAGTCCTAAGATTCCAGCTTCTTGCCTTGTGATTTAATATTTTACTGTAATTTCAGTCCTAGTCCTCTTTGACAAATGATATTGGAACAAAATTTAAATTACATGACTTACATTGCTAATCGAAAATCCGGAAATTCATAAATATGTTGCAATTTCAGTCCTAATTGCGGAAAAATATTATATAAAAATTAGATCACAGGACCAAAAAAGCAAAATGTTGGAACCTTGTGACTAAAATTGCGATGACGTAAAACCAGCAAGACTAAAAATGTAATTTTGCTATTTTCTGAGCCTATTTTCCTATAGTAATATGATTTCTCTGCATTTGTAACGAAAAATATTACTCAAAATATTTCCAGGCTGCTCAGTACTTACCCGACAAGAAAACCTTCGACAAAATGGTCGACTCAACCCTAAAGTCGTTCAAAGAAAACGAGCTCGAGACCGTTTGTGAGGTGATCCAATGTTGCATCCATCACGACCCGAGGAAAAGACCCTCCATGAAAGAAATTATACACAAGTTGAGGGAAGCCATTGATGTCTCGCCTGAGGCGGCAATTCCTAAGCTCTCTCCTCTTTGGTGGGCCGAGCTCGAGATTTTATCGGCCGAGGCAGCTTGATTGATTGTTTTTAACCGTGCTCGTAAATGTAAGTTCGATTTACCGCCTCTCGGTTTTTCTTATCCCCATGCTTTGCTCGGAAGGAAGGTTTGTAACTATCTTTTTACTTATTCTTCTTGTTTTTTTTTTTTTCTTTTCTTTTTCTTTTGAGTTAGGATGCCACTTTTATGGTTCCTTGTTGTATTATTCTTTGTTTTTTGTGTGATTTGGTTTGTGCTGTCTTTGAGCGCATTGTATGTGTATTTGCGATGCGACATATGTAAGTGATGGTTATTGAAAAAACAATTAATTAAAGATATACACTTTTCATGAAAAAATTTTGCATCAACACATTTATATTTGAGTTGGGATATAAAGTTCGCATAAAAAAAAAATATTTTTTTTTTT